CCGGGCGCTGGCAGGTAATTACCAGCCAGGACCTGGTGATTGACATCCGCAGCCACGAATGGCGGCGCAGGTAGGGTGCACGCTGCTGATGCACATCCCCTACCTGGAAATACAAAATGACATATATACGTGATTCTGCACAAAGGTGCCGCCCTGTAGCAGTATATCAGCTATAGGGTGGTCCTTAAGCTGTTAAGGACAGTAAGGCTCTTTTTAACATACTAAGTTATGGATATTAAGGATAGCTGCATTCTGGCAAGTGTGGATGTAAACTCATTGTAGGAAAGGGGTAGCTATGGGAGCCAAGTATGCACCCTCAGTAGCCAACCTCTTTATGAGCAAATGGGAACATGAGTCGATATATGGAAAAGAGAGATCAGAATTAAAACTTTATAAAATATATATCAATGATATCTGTATAATATGGGAGGGATCTCAGGAATCCCTTGTGGAGTTTATTAAAGAAATTGGTAAGAATAAGTATAACATCTCCTTTTCCGAAAATATTGATGGGCAGTCCATTCATTTTTTGGTTCTTACTATATAGAAAAGGTAAGAAGATCTTTACCCGTACCCACTTTAAGGATGTGGATAGGAATGCATTCCTAAACATAGTTACCATCATCCTAGATGGCTAAATACAATCCCTAAGAGTTAGTTTATGAGAATCAAATGGAATTGTGATGAGGTTAGAGACCATGAGGAACAAACAGATATCTTAATACAGAGATTTGAAGAAAAAGGATATAAAAATAAAGATCTTCTAAAAATAAAAAAAATGGTAAAGGGAATGGATAGAGAGGAATTATTAAAAATTAGAGAAAAGAAAATAGAAGATTATGGAGTAGCATTTATCACAGGGTATTCTAAGCAATAAATGCTGATTGAGGAAATGTTTAGGAAACATTGCCCAATCCTTTTGCAGGATGATATCCTCAAAGGAATTTTGCCTAAAACACCAAGATTTATTTGTACAGAACAATCCACACTGAGAAATAACTTGTCCGGAAATGTACAGTGAGGAACAGAAGTATTTGAACACCCTGCGATTTTGAAAGTTCTCCCACTTAGAAATCATGGAGGGGTGTGAAATTCACATTGTAGGTGCATTCCCACTCTGAGAGACAGAATTTAAAAAAAATTCAGGAAATCACATTGTATGATTTTTAAAGAATGTATTTGTCTTGCACTGCTGAACATAAGTATTTGAACACCTGAGAAAATCAGTGTTAATATTTGGTACAGAAGCCTTTGTTTGCAATTACAGAGGTCAAACGTTTCCTGTAGTTCTTGACCAGGTTTGCACACACTGCAATAGGGATTTTGGCCCACTCCTCTACACAGATCTCCTCTAGTTCTGTCAGGTTTCGGGGCTGTCGCTGAGCAACACGGAGTTTCAGCTCCCTCCAAAGATGTTCTATTGGATTTAGGTCTGGAGACTGGCTAGGCCACTCCAGAACCTTGATATGCTTCTTACGGAGCCGCTCCTTGGTTATCCTGGCTGTGTGCTTCGGGTGGTTGTCATGTTGGAAGACCCAGCCACGACCCATCTTCAATGCTCTAACTGAGCGAAGGAAGTTGTTGCTCACAATCTCACAATAAATGGCCCCTCCTTAATACAGTGCAGTTGTCCTGTCCCCTTCGCAGAAAAGCACCCCAAAGCATGATGTCCACCCCCATGCTTCACAGTAGGGATGGTGTTGTTGGGATGCAACTCATCCTTCTTTTTCCTCCAAACACGACGAGTGAAGTTTAGACCAAAAAGTTCTACTTTGGTCTCATCTGACCACATGACTTTCTCCCATGCCTCCTCTGGATCATCCAGATGGTCATTGGCAAACTTCAGACGGGCCTGGACATGTGATGACTTGAGCAGGGGAACCTTCCTTGCAATGCATGATTTGAAACCATGACGGCGTAGTGTTCTACCGACAGTGACCTTTGAAACTGTGGTCCCAGCTCTCTTCTTGTCATTGACCAGCTCCTCCCTTGTAGTTCTGGGCTGATTCCTTACCTTTCTTATCAGTGATACCCCACGAGGTGAGATCTTGCATGGAGCCCCAGTCCGAGGGAGACTGACAGTCGTCTTTAGCCTCTTCCATTTTCTAACAATTGCTCCAACAGTTGATTTATTTTCACCAAGCTGCTTGGCAATTGCCCTGTAGCCCTTTCCAGCCTTGTGGAAGTCCACAATTTTGTCTCTGGTGTCTTTTGACAGCTCTTTGGTCTTGCCCATGGTAGTAGTTGGTGTCTGACTGACTGTGGGGTAGACAGGTGTCTTTAAAGAGCTCAGACAGGTGCTACTAAGTTAGATTAATGAGTGGAGTAGAGGTGGACTTTTTAAAGGCACAGTAACAGGTCTTTGAGAGCCAGAATTCTTGCTATTTCTTAGGTGTTCAAATACTTATGTTCAGCAGTGCAAGACAAATACATTCTTTAAAAATCATACAATGTGATTTCCTGAATTTTTTTAAAACATTCTGTCTCTCAGAGTGGGAATGCACCTACAATGTGAATTTCAGACCCCTCCATAATTTCTAAGTTGGAGAACTTGCAAAATCACAGGGTGTTCAAATACTTCTGTTCCTCACTGTAACAGAACCCCCCCCCACAAAAAAAAGCACCTTTCTAGACCAAATATGTTTTTTCAGTTGTGGAAGGTGTTTATCTTGTAGGACAGTGGGAAGCAAAATTAAGAAAACTGATCATTTCCAATCTTATACTAAAGGAAAGACCTATAGGATCAAGAAATGTATGTCATGTGCGAGTACTCATGTGAGTTACCTTTTAGAATGTCCTTGCAAATTGCAATATGTAGGGAGAACTACTAGAAAACTTGCAGTACGTTTGAGTGAACACATTAGAAACATCAAAAAGGGTTTTAGACATCATAGCTTGTCTTATCATTTCAGAAATGTTCACAATAAGGACCCCACTCTTTTGAAATTCTGTGGGATTGATAAGGTGGAGCCTTTTTTTGCGATAAGGTGATCTAAAAAAATCAGTATCACAGAATGAAACCAGATGGATTCTAAAATTGGACACTTCAGTCCCTAAGGGGTTAAATGTAGAAACAGATCTTATATATATATATTTGGGCGGCACAGTGGCTTAGTGGTTAGCACTTCTGCCTTGCAGTATTGGGTCATGGGTTCAATTCCCATCCATGGCACCTCCTGCATGGAGTTTGCATGTTCTCCCTGTGTTTGCATGGGTTTCCTCCCACACTCCAAAGACATGCTGGTAGGTTAATTGGCTCTTGTCTAAATTGTCCTAGTTTCATCCCAGGCCACGTGGGATCTCCTGCATGGTAGGGGTTGGGGAAAGACCTGGTAACCTACCCTGTAAACGAATTGCTAAGAGAATTCATGGAAAAAGTCGCTTATGAGTGAAAGTCCATCAATCGCCAAGGGTTGGATACGACTGAATAGATAGATAGATAGATAGATAGATAGATAGATAGATATATAGATATTTATATTAGTCATTAGTAATTTTATTTTAGGTTTTTTTAGAATGCTGGTTTGGTTCATTTTCTTGCATTTGAATCCTATGGTTTTTTGGGGTTCGATGTAGGAATGACCATAGATTGCGTCCTGTCCCACTAGGAATACAGTTCCCTTTATTTCATCTGGATTACGGTTATGGGACGACTCTCATTTTTATTTTTGTTTTTTTTTAATTTTTATTTATTTGAGATGCTTTTATCTGCATAGACTATGATTATATTCATAGATATATTAGTATTTTAGTTTTTTAAAGAATTAGATTATTTGTCACGATTGGTATAGCTGGGAGTAAGAAGCACTGTAGTATTCATCACTAGTTGTCTGAAGCTAGTGCACCCAACAGGAAATATTCAGGAAGTGAGTTACTAGGATGGGAGGTGCATTTGTAGGGTATATTAAGCATGCAGGGACTGGAGATTACTGTCTGTGAGGATGCCCTGGAGGAGGGACAAAATGCGTTGATGCAATTTTCAGTTCCAGTGGTTCTGTGTGACGTCACATTCGGTGAGTAGAGCGCACATGAACAGCGGCGCTCTGGAGCCATCTCAATTAGCGCTGTATTACCTTTGGAGGATATACAAGAATCATTACCAAAAGGCTCACGTATTGCTGATTTAATGTGAGTGTAATATGTATTGCTGTTTTTATTTGAATAAGTAGCCCAACAATATTACACTACTAGTGTCCTTTCTGCTTTCCTCTTGCCCGCATGGTGAATTATGGAACATACTGATGAATTGCACCTATACTCTGGGCGTATTTGCTGTGAGGCAAACAAGGCATTTGCCTAGGGCGGCACTTTTTAGGGGGGCGGCGCAGTGCCGCCTCCCCTTCCAACGGAAGGGACACTAAGTACAGGGGTGGGCAGGGGGCTGCTGTGTCTTACCTGGCTCCGGGTCCCAGTCCCACAATGATCCAGTCCAGGAAGCGCTGCTCCTTCATTCACTTTGGCCGCTCCCTCACTTATTGTTCGCGCTGCCGCTCGGCTACGCCTCCTCACCGGTGACTGGGCGCCAGAACTGTAGCTCAGGAAAGGCACACAGGCGGCCAATCACCTGCGAGGAGGCGGAGCCGAGCAGCCCCGCGAACACCGAGTGAGGGAGCGGCCGGAGTGAATGAAGGAGGACAGCTGACCGCCCGGTAAGTGTGCCGTGCTGATGGTGCTGCTGCAACCAGGTATGCTGGCTGCAGCAGCACCTAGGCTGGAGCAGGGATCAGCAAGTTAAGTGTCATTGGTGTCAGTGGGAGGAATAGTGCCCCATCATTGGTGTCACTGATACAAATGATGGGGCATTATTCCTCCCACTGACACCAACGATGGGGCACTATTCCTCCCCCCACTGACACCAACGATGGGGCACTATTCCTCCCCCCACTGACACCAACGATGGGGCACTATTCCTTTCCCCCACTGACACCAATGATGGGGCACTATTCCTCCCCCCACTGACACCAACAATGGGGCACTATTCCTCCCCCCACTGACACCAAACGATGGGGCACTATTCCTTCCCCCCACTGACACCAATGATGGGGCACTATTCCTCCCCCCACTGACACCAACAATGGGGCACTATTCCTCCCCCCACTGACACCAAACGATGGAGCACTATTCCTCCCCCCACTGACACCAACAATGGGGCACTATTCCTTTCCCCACTGACACCAACGATGGAACACTATTCCTTCCCCCACTGACACCAATGACGGGGTACTATTCCTCCCAATGACACCAATGTTGGGACACTATCCACCCACACTGACACCAATGATGGGGCACGATTCTTCCCACTGACACCAAAGATGGGGCATGATTCCTCCCACTGACACCAAAGATGGGGCACTATTCCTCCCACTGACACCAATGATGGGGCACTATTCCTCCCCCCACTGACACCAATGATGGGGCAGTATTCCTCCCACTGACACCAATGATGGGGCACGATTCCTCCCAATGACACCAATGATGGGGCACGATTCTTCCCACTGACACCAATGATGGGGCACGATTCTTCCCACTGACACTAATGATGGGGCACGATTCTTCCCACTGACACTAATGATGGGGCACTATTCCTCCCACTGACACCAGTGATGGGACACTATTCCTCCCACTGACACCAATGATGGGGCACTATTCCTCACACTGACACCAATGATGGGGCACGATTCCTCCCCCTACTGACACCAATGATGGGGCACTATTCCTCCCACTGACACCAGTGATGGGACACTATTCCTCCCACTGACACCAATGATGGGGCACTATTCCTCACACTGACACCAATGATGGGGCACGATTCCTCCCCCTACTGACACCAATGATGGGGCACTATTCCTCCCACTGACACCAATGATGGGGCACAATTCCTCCCAATGACACCAATGATGGGGCACGATTCTTCCCACTGACACCAATGATGGGGCACGATTCTTCCCACTGACACCAATGATGGGGCACGATTCCTCCCACTGACACCAATGATGGGGCACGATTCTTCCCACTGACACTAATGATGGGACACGATTCTTCCCACTGACACTAATGATGGGGCACTATTCCTCCCACTGACACCAATGATGGGACACTATTCCTCCCACTGACACCAATGATGGGGCACTATTCCCACTGACACCAATGATGGGGCACTATTCCTCACATTGACACCAATGATGGGGCACTACCCCCCCCTGACACCAATGATGGGGTACTATTCCTCCCACACTGACACTAATGATGGGGCACCATCATTGGTGTCAGTGGGAGGAATAGTGCCCCATCATTAGAAAGGTGAGGAATCAGCCCAGAACTACAAGGGAGGAGCTGGTCAATGACATGAAGAGAGCTGGGACCACAGTTTGAAAGGTCACTGTTGGTAGAACACTACGCCGTCATGGTTTCAAATCATGCATTGCACGGAAGGTTCCCCTGCTCAAGTCATCACATGTCCAGGCCCATCTGAAGTTTGCCAATGACCATCTCGATGATCCAGAGGAGGCATGGGAGAAAGTCATGTGGTCAGATGAGACCAAAGTAGAACTTTTTGGTCTAAACTTCACTCGTCAAGTTTGGAGGAAAAAGAAGGATGAGTTGCATCCCAACAAAACCATCCCTACTGTGAAGCATGGGGGTGGTAACATCAGGCTTTGTAGGTGCTTTTCTGTGAAGGGACAGGACGACAGCACTGTATTAAGGAGAGGATGAATGGGGCCATTTATTGTGAAATTTTGAGCAACAACCTCCTTCCCTCAGTCAGAGCATTGAAGATGGGTCGTGGCTGGGTCTTCCAACATGACAACAATCCGAAGCACACAGCCAGGATAACCAAGGAGAGGCTCCGTAAGAAACATATCAAGGTTCTGGAGTGGCCTAGCCAGTCTACAGACCTAAATCCAATAGAACATCTTTGGAGGGAGCTGAAACTCCGTGTTGCTCAGCGACAGCCCCGAAACCTGACAGATCTAGAGGAGATCTGTGTGGAGGAGTGGGCCAAAATCCCTGTTGCAGTGTGTGCAAACCTGGTCAAGAACTACAGGAAACGTTTGACCTCTGTAATTGCAAACAAAGGCTTCTGTACCAAATATTAACACTGATTTTCTCAGGTGTTCAAATACTTATGTTCTGCAGTGCAAGACAAATAAATTCTTTAAAAATCATACAATGTGATTTCCTGATTTTCTTTTAAAATTCTGTCTTTCAGAGTGGGAATGCACCTACAATGTGAATTTCAGACCCCTATATGATTTCTAAGTGGGAGAACTTGCAAAATCGCAGGGTGTTCAAATACTTCTGTTCCTCACTGTATGAGCAGCTTATTACAATATTAGGTTTAGCTAAAGCAAACTAGATAGTAAAAAAGGTGTTTTTGTTTTTATAGAATGCTTACCTACCTGGTCCCTCACTAATGAAAGAAAAATAAATGCATTTAACATTTCTTTAACTCCCTCTCTTACTGCTAATATCACAGCATACATTCTAGAACTAAAGAACTGAACTTAAAAAAAAAACACTGAAAGAAATCCACAACAAAAAAAATAAAGGGTTTAGCAGCGCTACTTCAAACCATTTCTTAGTAGACATCAGTTTTTGCAGGTAATCATAGAATAACAGATATTTTATAAGGATGTTGACATGAGATGTCATGCAGCAAGGTGCATCTGGTTTTCTGCTGAATTTGATCCAATTTCCTGTCTGTAACCCTCTGTTCTTAAACTGGATGTTTAAATCTTTTTGTTTATGTTCTTTTTACTGATGATGAATAGGGATTCCTCCATTGCTGGCAATCCCTTTTTATAAAGTAAAGGTAATCCTGAGGTTTAATAAGCTTCAGGAAGCACATCTGGATACTGTATTTTTTGTTTCTGAACTTAAACAGGACAGCAATGGCTTTTATGACTCCATGAGACATTTCCCATTTCCCTGACAGAATTATCATTCGAGAGAAATCTTTATACTAGGTTGCTTCTCATTTACCCTTTTCTATAATGCGATCAGAGCGTGCAGCCAAGCATTTCTGGCTGTATGCAAACTTCACTTGGCTGCAGCAAAACCCAGATGGCTAATTATGGATTGCACATTTATAAATTGTTTTTCTGACATATCTACAGCTCTGCCTGTACAAGAGACTTCTAGCCTGCCACCAAAACACATTGCCTTGTGTGACATTTTGCCTGGGATTTTAATAGCGGCAAATCTAGTTGATATGCCACAGCAGTCTGTGTGTGGTGTGTGTGTTTTTTTTTAACATATAGTTAGGAAGAGTACACATTTGTTATTCCCATCCCAACAAGCAAAACAGTGCTTTGAGCAATGCCAGTTAGTGTAGTCACATAGTATATTTGCACTTAAATTAATCCTTAAAGTGTTACTAAACCCCAGACCCTGCATTCACTATATCTGGTCTCCCACAGTACACAGAACATGGAAATGTAATTATTTCAGTAAATATAAATTGCTAAATACCTTTTTCCTTTCAGCAGTTGGAGCAGTTTTGTGACTTCTATCAGTGTTCAGCAGAGCACTGGGTACAGTTTGTAGGAGGAGTTTAGTGGGTTTAGTAACACTTTAATGCTTAACCTACATGAACAATTAACCCTTAACCTACTTCATAGTGAACCTCCAATCCTTGAATTAAAAATTAGATATCTTCAACTCCTAGATCAAAACTTAAAGTGGAAGTATAGTCAAATACTAACTAAGCCTGAACCTACTCCCACCCCCATACTAAGCCTATTCTATCTACCTTACAAAGGAAAGAAGTCTGTACTTACATATGCTGAGGGTGATACGGTTCGGTCGTATGATCTCTTCAGTGGCTGGCTTCAGTGAAGAAGAGAGATCACCGACAAAGGCTGCAGAGCTTGGGCAATGATGTCACCCATAGGCTTACTTTAGGGCATCAGCTGTTCCTCCTCTTCACTGGCTGTGCGCATTGGGCACATGAAAGGCTTAATGCAGTGGCCATGTTGTTCAGGCCCCAAGTCACCATGAATTTTGGCATAAGAAGAGACATAACTGTAGGAATCCTCCTCCTCCTCCCTCCTCCTTCGTTTTATACAATCACAAACTTTACCAGAATATTCTTTTCAGGTCCGTGAGAAGACACATTTAGACCCTCACTCTATCACACCTATTATCAGAATCCACACTTCATTCTAGATGCCCTTGTAAAACTCTCAAATTCTCAAGTTGTTTTCTTCTTCATGGTCACTTTTGTAGCAGTTGTTTTCTTTGTCTGGGTCACAATCCTGCGCAATGTTCTTTTGGTCTCTTTCGGTCAGTTGACCATGTCGACCGCGCTTATGCTTATTAGATGATGTTTTCCCAGAAACTGTATATGCCATCATAACCTTTGATACTGTACACGGCAAATAAATTTGCAACTTCAGTCACAGAGGCACCAACTAAGCGGCACCAACAATGTGCCCTCTTTGAAGCTCAGTAAGCTCTGACATTACTCCGTATTACTAGCAGTGCACTCACTGAATGATGAAAGTGAGGCTTCCAACCTGTTAGCTAGGTGTCTCATCACTCAGCAGAAGCAAAAAAATGTTACATCGCTTCCACTTTCAAAGTGAAACATGTCGTCAATTTCACACCTGCAACCCATGTAGTGTTTCCATTTTTTTGTACGCCTGTATCTTAGCCTTATAAGGTCCTCCTAGCTGTGTAAAGGGTCCTTATATTTATGGGAAAATTTGTGAGAAAAATGTGAAAAGAAGGCAGATTAGGCAACAGTACATGGTAATCTACATGTATACATTGGTTTCTTGTGCATTCTATGACTTTGTAAAATACCTATCACAGGGATAACGGCTCACTGTGGTGATGTGTCTTAAAGATAGATTGATTATTTGTAGTAATGGTAGAGACACCAAAACATCTCTTCTTAAAATAAAAAAAAAGAACATTTTTTTTTCTACAGAAATAATAAATTATACCCAGAGGCAGTAAGAACTTGTACAGGTGAAACTCGAAAAATTAGAATATCGTGCAAAAGTTAATTATTTCAGTAATGCAACTTAAAAGGTGAAACTAATATATGAGATAGACTCATTACATGCAAAGCAAGATAGTTCAAGCCGTGATTTGTCATAAGTGTAATGATTATGGCTTACAGCTCATGAAAACCCCAAATCCACAATCTCAGAAAATTAGAATATTGTGAAAAGGTGCAATATTCTAGGCTCAAAGTGTCCCACTCTAATCAGCTAATTAAGCCATAATTAGCAAAAGGGTTGCTGAGCCTTTAAATGGTCTCTCAGTAGGAATCACAATCATGGGAAAGACTGCTGACCTGACAGTTGTGCAGAAAACCATCACTGACACCCTCCATAAGGAGGGAAAGCCTCAAAAGGTAATTGCAAAAGAAGTTGGATGTTCCCAAAGTGCTGTATCAAAGCACATTCATAGAAAGTTATGTGGAAGGGAAAAGTGTGGAAGAAAAAGGTACACAAGCAGCAGGGATGACCTCAGCCTGGAGAGGATTGTCAGGAAAAGGCCATTCAAAAGTGTTGG